TACTAAAAAACATTTTAATCGAGATTGAAAGAGCTGGGATTTAGTAGATAAGGGAAATCTATACAGACTACGGTATTGCTGCAATATGGGTGTATACTAAAAGAAATATTGCAGATAGGAAGAGGTCTCCTGTCATACACTCTCCACCAAAAAGAACAACAAAAAAAAAAAAAGCGGGAAAATAAAAAAAAAGCATTAAATAGCGATATAATTGCATATGAGTGCGTGGCCGAGTGTGTTAGAACATTAGCCTTCCCGACAATGAAACTTGGGTTCGAAACTTACCACGTTCGGTTTGTGAAGGCGCGACTTCTTGATAATATATCCCGCAGAATGTTTTAGAATTATCTGAAAACCATACTATGAGTTGAGTGAAATTGGGTAGACAAAACTGTTCGAAAGCCCAGATTAAGCAGTCTTGCAGTATAAACTCTGTGGGTTTTGAAGAAACATATGTGCTTCAACAACAAGTGTTTAGCTAGTCAGCCTAGCAGACAATCATTTGTTTTAATCACTTCACTCCAAGCAGGGCGATAATATCACTAAAACACAAGGGGGTTCCTGGGAGCAAAAATGAATGAGAAAACTTTAGTGAGGAGAAAGTACAATAAAAGAACGGCTTTCAGGAAGATATAATATAGCGATTGATGTTGTATTTAAACTTTTGAAGAACGCAAGTCACTGGGAAACAAGAAACTGGTAAGTGCAAGAAAAGAAAGTATTGGAATAGAGCTTATGGTTACATCTAATTTTTCAACACTAAATCGATGGGTCCTATTTGCTAATCTATTAGTACGCTTATATTCATGCATTCGATTTACGAAGGAGGGAAAGTGACTGAAACTGAGGTGCCAGTTCAGTAGCGACAACATTACAGACCCTTCTTTGGATTTTCTCGAGAATCTTGAGATATATAACAGGAACATCAAACCGGTTATAGCAGAAATATTCAATGCACGGACGAATGGTTGATTTAAGTTGGATTCTGTCAGCTCAGAAAGCGAGCCGCCAGCTATTATATTAAAAAATAGTAAGCATAACACAAAAAGAAAATACAATAGGTACAATAGGCGATGCGAACAGGATTTATCATTTTTTCTCATTCGTTTTAATTTTTCTCATTCCTTTTGATATTACTATAAGTACCCCAGATAACTAATATAAATAAATAGAAATAAAAACAAAATAATAATAAAAGTTAACAGGGGTCGTCTAGTTTGTTATGCAAATTCAATTGAAACTTATCCCCCTACGGAAGCCAAAACAAAATATACTCATACAAAAAATGTAAAAAAGGGTTAAAAAAGTAATTGAAATTCGTAATCTGCCATTCTTTATCGATAATAATTTATAAAAAAAATCCACTCCATATAGATTACAGATTAAATTAAACGGAAGAGGCGTGGCACGTAGAACTAGAACAACCTACCCCGGTAGACGAAATAATGGGTTCGGTTCGAAATTCCAATCACCTGAAGAAAGCCGGAGCGTACAGCGACCGAAACGTTTGAATATGACAATGAAGATGAGGATAACTATTCGATTAATATAAATAATGCAAGAAACCATAATACCTCATCTCAGAGACATAGGCAGAAATTAAACTAAACATTTTTTTACATTTCCAGAAATGACATAGAATGAACATTTTGTTTTAGCTTCCGTAGGGATCAATTTACATTGAATTTACACTGCAAATTCAACCCCCATTAACTTTTATAAACTTTAATAAATAAATGATGTTCTTCATCTTGAGTACTTAATCTACAGTAATATGGAAAAAATATGGGAAAAAAAAAAGATTATTTATGATCACAGTACCTGTTGTACAACTGCCCCGAAAATGCTAACAGAGATAGTTGAAGGCATAAAATTGTGTTCAAAATGTTTAAATTTCAGCATTAAATAACCCATGGAGATAGATATGCCGTTAAACAAAATTAACCAAGTATAAAACCAACACGAAATAACTTTTTTATGGCATTAATCCATATAATATCCTACAATTTCCGAAAGAAATAAAACTGTAATCTAAAATATAACTAAAAAATACTACAGCATAAATCACACATATCACTGCCTCTAGTAATTTTGTCCACACAAACATGTATATGCACAAAAGCTGAGTATTATCTACCATGTATTAAACCTTGAAAACATAATAACATAAATCATATTTTTATTTCTTCCTAACTTCCAAGAAAATTAAATTTCAGCATTATATTTATGACCCATAAAGAGTTGATGTGCCGTTAAACAAATTTTTAACCACCTCACCATAAAGCAATGCTTAATGAGTTTAAATTGCGGACATTTATTAATGATTTAGTTCAGTCTAAACAGAGTGCTCTACAAGTGTGGCCTTGTGCCAAACCTGATCATAGAACTTTACAAATTGTTTGGGTGAATATTTTGCAGAGAGATGATCAAATTGACATGTAATAACAGCAATTTTAAAGATTGCTTAAATAGTTTAAACATTTTAAAGGTTGTTTTAAAACGCTTGTAAAGTCGGTACAGTTGGTAAATAAATTTCGTTTTTACAGAGATTTACCGCGGTTAATATTCTTGTAAAATCTGCGCTCCTCATGTGGTATAAATATAATATTTCTGATTATCAAAACAAGATCTTAACTTTTTAAAACTCATCGCGTAAGGAAAGAGAAACACAAATATAAAGAAATATTGTTATTCCAAGAAGCAGAAGATTTCGCTTTCTACCTTTGTGTGTGAGCGTCTATTGTCTATGGTGGCGACCCGAAATAGTGATCGAGGCAGCGTTGAAAAGCGGGGAACCTTTGTAATTGCAAATCAAAACACCTTTAAATCTCACATCGGATTCTTCAACTCTCAACAGTGATCCGTCTTGGAATAGTGCTTCTGGCGTCGACTTGGCGTTCAAGACCAGCTAATTCTTAAAGAATAAAAAAAAATGTCTAAGTTGCTTATGGTGTCACAAAAAAGATGAAAAACCGACGGAATATCTATTAAATAGCGAACAACCTTTAGAGTTGGGGAAGAAAAAAAATTATATCTTCCTAAGAGAGAAGAAAACTCAGTCATGGCAAATATTTTTTTATACAGCAAAGAGACATTTAGAAAACCCGAGATCAAAGATCGGATATTGCATTGTGACAAGTAAATAGAGAAAAAGATGACAGCTTATGAATAGAAAGATTGGGACAACATGGCACATTTGGCGGGAACACCTACCTACTTTTAACAACAGTAAGTCCACAAAGAATTTCTTACTTTACGGCAAAAATTCTCTTATTTTTTCTCTTTTGATTTTCTTTTTGGTTTCTCTTCATTTAAAATAACAACTTTGTTTATTAATAAATTCTAATTTCAAACAGAAGTACATAGATTTCATTTTTTTTAATGCTATATCACTTCAAAACAAGTGATCACGGCTCTCCACAAATACCTTTACTTTATTACTATAGGTAGTTTCACTCAAAATGGCTACAAAACCAAAACATTAATCTGTCAACACGAACCAATTTCTTAAATAGCCTCGTCACATCGAGACTTTCATATAGATATCATACATTGAGTCGAACTCGCTCAGAAATATTTATACTGTTTAGACCAGCTTCTAAGACAATGGTTAAAAGTGCCTTTGAGCGAGTGAAGCCTATGGATTTTGGCGAATATCACACAACCTTGGGGAATGGCGCTACAGAGTCATAAACAAAGAACTGTACCAAATAACAGAAAGTACATCACTTGAAGACTTTCAACAGCAGCAACAGTTAAAATGAATATCACATGTAACTCGAAGAGAAAATAATGACATAATCAAAATGTTAATATTCCACATTACTTCAAATAAAAGATTAGAAAGAAACCCCCCACCAATACTGGAAGAGCAATGACAGCTACTGAAACCTACTTTCCTGAAAAAATTTTTATGGAAAGATTTTATAAATTTCAAGTGACAGTGCATGGTCAATGAATATCGAACGTTTCCTTATAAGGAAACGGCTAATATTACCATTTAGAAATATAGAGAAGTAATTTCGAGTTTTCTTCGTAGTTTTGAAGTCAGAGTTTTACTTCTACACTGGCTGCTACCTAAGGTTAGAGAACACAGTCTATCCAGTTATTTAATCAATATCTTGGGGAGAATATATGGATTGATGCTTATTTTAATGATACTAGGGTGAAAGGGGACGTAGAAGAATTAAACTTCAATTTGGCCTCGATTCGCCGATTACAATTCCCGCGACAACTGTTACTCTAACCTTGCATTTTTTATTACTCTAAACGTTATTTTTACTGGGTATATTTTTAGTTGCTATCCCTGTTTTATTTTATTGCACAGTTAAATTAATAACAATAAATCGAAATTGAGAATTCCTATTGGGTGAGGCACACTTTGGCTTAAGAAGTGGTGGTAAATTTTCATTTTAACACCCGAGCGTCATTCACCGCTGAACTATTTTCTTTCAGAAATTAGTACGCGCTTCCGTAAAGCGATTTTTTTGTACTTAATTTAACAAGAAAGTTAACTTTTAAATATATGTAAACATCGACAAATAAAAGAATAACAAAAGAAAAAAAAACACCTAACCCTAATTTGAAAGTAAACTTTCTTCTTAAAAAAATAAAAAATAAAACAAACAAAAGAATAACCAAAAAAAAACCACAAGTTAACTTTCTTCTTAAAACCAAAAAAAAAAACCACCTAAAATTGTTCGGATAAATAAATATTTATATTCCATTTATGTCCCATGTATATAAAAATGTATTGATTTGTTTTTGACGGCCTATCAACCTGTTTGCAGGTTATTTAAAGCCATAAAATATTTTTAAATTACAAGAATGTTTTGGACAGATTATACAGGTATATGTCCTACTAATTAAGTCATAGGTGGGGGAGAAGAGTTGGGTTCATATCTTTCCCCCTAGAATGAACATAACCAGCACGAGTGAAATTGGAACTCGCCTTGCTGAGTTGTTATCCATTAAACCATTCGCACATTCACACTTACCGGACATGGTATTCCCAAGCGGTCACCCATCTAACTATTGATAAGGCTCGATGTTGCTTAAGTTCGGTGATCGTGTGAGAAGCGGTGTTTCAACTTAATATAGCTGTAAGTCATTTATATATATATATATATATATATATATATATATATTTCTTAATATATATATATATATATATATATATATGAAGAAAAATATACTGAAAAAACAAAAAAAAATCCTAATATGCAATTATTTTGTTTTAATGTTTAATGTTAACGTCGGACGTTTCGGTCTAATAGACCATCTTCAGGACATATTCATAAAACATAATTAACATAGATCATATACAATTCAACATGAAAAAAGACGATGGACATAAAAGCAAGACCAATCCAAACAGATAACTGTTTTATGAATATGTCCTGAAGATGGTCTATTAGACCGAAACGTCCGACGTTGACATTAAACATTAAAACAACATAATCGCATATTAGGATTTTTGTTTGTTTTTTCAGTATATTTTTCTTCATACTGTCGGATCTATATCCATATATTTGCTTACATATATATATATATATATATATATATATATATATATATATATATATATATATAGGGTGAGAGAGAGAGAAAGAGGAGCATACCTTAAATGCATATTTTTTGCCATATATATATATATGTGACTGTATGTCTGTATGTGTGTTGATATCATTAGTGCGTACAAATGGATCAACGCTGCATGGTGACTGACAGTGCGACGTGAAATTGATAGTCACTATGCAGTTTCTTCACACTCTCTATAAAACTTATTGCTTCGACATTGAGTTCTCTAACGCTATAAATATAGCAAATTTCAAACACACACACGCGCGCACGCACACACAAGCACACGCACACACTCCCGGTTTGAAGTAATCGGATGTCTAATCACACTGATGGCTGTGATACAGCCAAACAGGACTGTATATATATATATATATATATATATATATATATATATATATATATATATATATCATACGTACATTACATGTTTACTGAAATAATTCAGACTGTAATCACGGGCGCCCATACACGCATACACTCATATAATATTTAAGGTGGTGCTGAAAATTGTTTAAGCCCAACTCACTTACCAAATTCAATATTCAAGCATTAGTATTTTCATTTATAAATTTCAGCGCCTCCTTTTATATATGTATATACATATTTGCATTCTTACATCATATGTTAATTATTAAAAATGTACGTATATATATATATATATATATATATATATATATATATATATATATATATATATATATATATTTATGATACCCATAAATATAAAGATGTCACTTGTTTGCTTATACGAAAACGCTTCAGGAATAAAACGTGCCTTTTGTTTGAAATTTGTTGCGAAATCCAGGCATGAATATAATTTAATTATAATTAAACAGAAATGGTTTTTGGTGAAATTTTGACTTATTTTAGTTAATTATTTTGTTTTGCAAAATATTTTTCTGTAGCTTTGAGATATTTGATTTTCCGGGGTATGGAAATGAAAAGCGAAGAATTACCCACAATGCCGTAGGAGAGTTTTTGTTACTTGGATTAATCAAGCCGATCGTTTCTTGCACCCGCCCGCAACAAAAAATATTTAATTAATTTACAGAAAAATATCTTGAAAGAAGAAATTATCTTCCCGTTACACTGGAAAAGAGGACATCACCTCCTTGTAAATGTTGTAATTATCTTGTGCAAATGCCGAAGCAGTAAATAACATTATTTGAAAGCCACCAGCGGGCAAAGAAACTTATTAATATTAGATAAAACCCAACATTATTCAAGGGATATACAAATAAAAAGAAAGTTTAAATTTTGAAGATAATATTGTTTTATGTAGATTAATTTCCCTGATTTTTGTGTTTAAAATATCATTATCTATCTATATATCTATCTTTTTAACATAGGAAGATGTATACGGTAATCACCTTTTAATGACTTTAAATGTAGCGTGCAGATCATATACAAAGGTTCGAGGCGATGTTTTTTATTTAATAGCATTGTGATTATATATTTGAATGATTCTTTACATATTATTTACCTATTTGCTATAACTTAATTGCATTGTCTGTGCATACGCATATGCAAATCCTTTGTATGTGTGTGTGTGTACATCGTATCTCTCTCTCTCTCTCTATGTCAATCTTTCTATCTCTTATAACTTTATAAATCACTTCTAGCGGTGATAATATTCGCTTAGGCTACTCGCCGTGACGTCACTATAAATTATTTTCGAATGACTCCAATGGACTTTCTCTGAGTCATTAGTTTAAGGAGTCTTGTTTACTCAACACCACTCTCTCCTTTCTTTTTAGACTATAAAATTGTTTTAGTTAATATTTCTTCAGCATTTAATTCTATTTACACTATTTACATTGTTCGAACTATTGTCTTCATCTTTATTGTCATATCCATGACGTTTCGGCCGTTGTACTCCCCGGCCTTCTTCAGGAGATATATGTTTGAATTTCGAAGAGAACTCTTTATTTCGCCCAACGGGGTAAATTCTATTTTCACGTGCCACACTTTTGATGGATATCTCAGGTTCTGGTTCAAAATTCCAACGTATATCATCTGAAGAAGGCCGAAGCGTACAACGGCCGAAATGTCGTGACTATGACAATAAAGATGAGGAAAACAGTTCAAACTATGTAAATGATGTAAATAGTTACAATACCTCATATCAGAAATATAGTCAGAAACATTAATACGTGTATAATTTATTTATAATTGTTCTGGGAACGTTATGGAAATTGTAAAATAACCAGCACTTTATTTGTTAAACGGTTATTGATTATTACCGAAATTTATTGATTTTCATCAACCCATCTGTAATGTTTGGAGCCAAATTATTACATGTACAAATAAAGACACACACACATGTACACACTGAAACTATATTATTTGCAAGATTTTTTGTAAATGTTTTCTTTTATCATATATTTGCATCGTACCCATAAAAACTGACAGTGTGCTTCACGTATGGAAAGATATGTCTGACGAAAAGAAGATTGTTTAGAATCAAAGTGTAATACCTGTGCTGTATGTGAAAGTACCCCTTTCTCTCTCTATATATCTATATAATCTCTTTATAACACACACACACACACACACACACACACACACACACACACACACACACACACACACACACTCTTTTGTAATCCAAATTTTCTCAATTTTCCCACACCAGATACTCTTTTTCCTCCTTTTTCTTCTTCTCCTCCTCCTCGTCTTCTTTTTTCTCTTTTTCTTTATCCCCATCCTCCTCTTCCACTTCTTCTTCTTCTTCTTCTTCTTCTTCTTCTTCTTTCTCCCCCTCTTTTTTTCCTCCTCCTCCTCCTTCTTCTTGCTGCGTTCCTTGGGGATATAGGCGATCATGGCTCTCCATAACTTTCAGCGCCTGATGAGATCGTATCATAAATGCTCTCTGCCTTTGACGACGTTAGCATCAACAAAATCACAGAAGTAATAAACGCTATATACAGCAGTGGCATCTCTAACGTTACTGATGTCATAACTTTACGAAATTGATGCAGATCTTATTTTTCTATGTGTACTTTCAGATTGAGGGTGATCATGGCTCTCCACAACTTCCTATGTATCTCGAAGTAATGCTTGTCTTTTTACTATCCCTCCTACTGTATGCTCTAACATCCATTTACACAAGCTTGTTAGGTAGGTTACTTGCTGTTTCTCAGTATGTCCCGTGAGTGTCAGATTTGCTAACCCTTCTTTCCTCATTATGTTCTCTAGAAATTTAAGCTATTTCCGATTCTAAGTATAAGTGTGACTTTTGTGTCCATTTTTATTAAAATTTCCTCATTGGACATATGCTTTGTCCATGGTACTCTCAGTATACTTCTCTAGAAGCATACGTCTACTGCCTCAAGTCTTCTCTTCATCTGTTGGTAAATTGTCCGACATTCACTGCTATATAAGAGAGAACAATGTTACATAATAATTTAGCACACTTTTATTTATTCTTGTTTGGTTTTGGGAAGTCATCTTTTGTTATTTCAATGCCTCTTTGGATTTCGGTAACACATTTTCTGTCATCTGCTAAAACGCTTCCCAGATTTCTGTATTTTGTGTGATTTTGACATCTCTAATTCGTAGCTCGCTTCTTGAAATATTTCTCTTGCTGACAAACTTACATTATGTATTCTTGCAGTTAGTCCGTTTTTCTCGCTTTCTTTTACTATCTTGTTTAGGTGTTCCTACAGTTTCATTTTTCTGTCTGACCTCAAATAAATACTGGTGGGATCTTTAGGTCATCTTGGATTAATTTTAGATAGGAATTTTTTGATATGCTAGGGAAGAAGAACAAAGAAGGCGAAATATTAATCATTTAATCAGTCACTCAATTTGACAACTATGAAGGCATATTTTTCAAACTTGAAATAATAATAGTAGATTGTAGAGTCAAATCTGATTTCAAAATTGAGAGAAAATAAACGAGTTTCTGAAAGAAATATTAATAAAGCTAGAGGGAAGATCAACCAATTTCAGGAACAAAATCAAACACAGATTTCAGGAATAACGAAAATAAAATAGAAAATATGGCAATTTTAATTATAAAAGCAGCAAATATAATATGGAAAACAAAGTGGAAATAGCAATAAGAAAGGGAGACAACTCAAAGTCATCAGCAGAATTGAAGATCAAGTGCAGAACTATGTTCATAAATATAAAGTGTTGGGTCGGAAACCTACCACTCCTCTTGAAGATGAACTTAAATAGTGGCATGTCAGTTGACATGAGGAAGATAGATAGACAGAGAAGTTCTTAGCTGAGCTAGTTATTGACTACTCAGGCGATTTCTGTACCTTTTTACCAACCTATTAAAACCCTTTTTAGTTGTTACGTGTTATTTGGCGTTTGTCTCTACTAACCCCAAATCAACATCATAACATAAAGAGAGATCAAATGAAAAGCAAGTGATGAACTAATCAACAATAAAAATCATATATTAAAAAGGAAGATGAATTAGAAAAAATAGAGGACGATAAGAGCGACACTGAAAATTGAAAGCGCATTGGGTTAATAGATAACTTCCAAAAGATATGATGAAAAGTGGTTTATAATGAAAAGCATCATGTAAAATCATCATCATCATCATCATCATCATCATCATCATCATCAGTCCGATGTCTAGCTGCCTGCGTTCAAATCACATTGAAGACGCCTGTTCTCGTTTGATCACTGAAGTTAAGCTATGTTGAATCCTGTTAGTACTTAGATGAGGGACCGCTTGGAAACGTCGGGTACTGTATGTACCTTCTGTTAGACATTTCCATGACGGTCGTCCTTGAGTATTGAATCTAGAGGTTTGCAGTGAATATTTCGGAGACAGTAGGAAAGCGTACTTTAGGTTCGCAGTGGATATCACAGCAGAGTGTAGTTCATCCTTCTCCTGGTCGCCTTTGGTCCTTCCGGTAGACGAAACAAAATGGCCGCCTTTATACCCGACGAATACAGTGTTGGGCGGCTTCTGATTGGTCAACCTTCCATTGGTCGACTATAAAGGGAAATAAGTCATTCTGACTCACTCACTGGTTATCGGTAATATATACCCAAAAAACCGTAACACCTTCCTGCAATAAGAAATATATTTCGCCTTTGAATGAACCACAAAGGGTTGATAAGTGGTAAAATATCAATCAATCAAAACCCTGACCAATTGTTGCCTTAGGCTCGTTCCACTTATTTCGGTAAGCATTCGTTCATGCGTAGCGTGTCTTGGGCAAAGTAATCCTGGCGGAGTAATCCCTTTCCATGTCAGATCAAACATGAAGATTCAAAAGTGAAGACATATAATAAATGAATAATATCAGCAATGATGTACGGATGCGAAACACGGAAATTAACAAACTCGCTTTGAAACAAAGTAAACGAAAATGCACATTAATCAATGGAAAAGGCTATGTTTAAGATAACTCTGAGAAAAAAATGTGCAAAACAGATTCGGGAACAGAATAAGATGAGTGATCTAATAGATGTTACTAGCAGCATGGCCCGGCGTTGCCCGTGCTTGATTCAAAAATCGTACAACTCATACATCAATCGCTATCACTTGACTATTTTTGCCCTTCCTTGCCTTTAAAGGAGTGCTCTTTGCCGTGCTGATGCCTTACTTATTGCCTATCTCACACTGCGAATTTTTTCTAAGCTCTATACTAAACATTAAATCTGTTACGAAAAAAGAACTAAACAAAATGAACACAAAACGATCAGCTTTAAAAAAGGACTCGTAACTGGAAAAACCGAATGTAAAAAGAATATTAACAACAAATACTTTTTCACACCCAATTCTGTGGAATCAGAATCAACGTTGAGTTTAAGCAAACGAATGAGCCAATTGGAGTAAAGTTCCATGCAGATTTAAATTTTTCCCACTTGTGACGAATGCAGCTATCGATTTTTTTGCGTGCTAGCATGCTAGTTAACATTCGTGTTAGTTAGCTGTTGGCTCTCACGCTGGCCAATAGAATCTTCCTGCCTATTCGTGGCAGCCAGCTATAGGCTCTTACTCTGGCCAGTAGAAAATGTCCGCAAACTACATGAAAACTGTCGTAGAAGCATGAAAAAATCGATTATTTCCACTATCGATGGAAGTTGGGAAATGCAAAGTCGGTCTTGGCCTTCCCGCTAACTTGGAGCATGTGCATGTAAAGTTTGGTGCAAATCCGTCGATAATTGCGGCCGTACATTAGTTACACACACACACATCCTGCCTTTTATAGATAGAGATTAAAACAACAGAAGCAGACGCGAGACATAGCAAGAAATAAAAATAACAGGTAGAGAAACAAGGTTGCTTGATTGGTGTCAAATGGACAGCAAACGTCGTAGGGAAAAAGCAAAAGAAATATGAACTTATGAAATAGATGAATTTGCTAGCTAGACTATCCAGAGAAGAGCACAGTTAAGGTAATGAATTGAACCCCCCCCCCAAAAAAAAAACAAGACCCCCCCCCCCAAAAAAAACAAAACCTGTAGTCGATATCCGAGCGAATGTAAAATTTGAAATATCTAAGTACTAGTTTCCAATAAAGAATACTTTCTACATCATTTGAAATTGGTGTTGTGGTGTAATGGATATCGGCTTGGTAATGAGAAATCGGAGACGTGAGTTCAAATTCCATTTGAGTTCCTTATATTCGCTGTCACATCTTTGCGAAAGGTATGAATTAATTTCTTCTCCCCCCAGCTATTAGCTGCATAGCAGGACAGATTGAATTCTTTAGACTTGGTTGGAAACCAGTCTACCGGAGAAAAAATCTTCTACCTATTCAGTCGAAACATACATGATGGCCCACGCATGTATTACGTATGACACTTAACTGACTGACCATTTGAAACATTGGTGCATCACAATCATCCTAACTTCAATTTTATTTTATGCCAACTGGAACTATGTATGCACGGACGCTTACACGGACACAATGACATACACATAAGCATACACATACACATACACATACACATAGTTAGGCAAGTTACGTATAATAAAAAAGCAAAGCATTGAAGCAGGTTGCTTGCAGTTCGAACAGTATCAGTAATTAATTTACTATTGTTTACCATGACTTTTTATTATTATTACTAACCAAACGAAAACTGTTTTAATAGCAAATTTGTGGACTGTTGATTAAATGCTTTGTCTTAATTGTTATTGTAAGTGTATAGTGACTTTTATTGCCCCTCTCTCTCTCTCTCTCTCTCTCTCTCTATATATATATATATATATATATATATATATATATATATAGTCGACTCTCCCGTCGAATTCGACGTATGAGGGTCAAGCATATCAGTTCCCAGGAAACCGACAGCCCGACAACACCACATGAGATTTGATTATAGTGGTGAAGGTTTAGTGCAGGGCCAGCAACACTTTTTGAAGGGCCGAATTCAGAGACCTGAAATATATATATATATATATATATATATATATAAGGCTTAAACACTAATATTCCATGGTTATAATTTATTACATTGGAATCATAATCACGATCCAATTCATCAGACCTACCAATTCAAAAAGAAATCGGAAAATCGATTTCATTTTGATATTTATAGTAACATATGCCTTCTTAATCGGAAATATCTTGGCCATAACTATTTCCATAGGCGATCATAGCTCTCCACAACTTTTTTTTATTACTTCAATTAACTTTTTCTCTACCATTCGTCTTTGATCTACCAGGTACTCAAATAAACTCATTAGGTAGATTACTTTCTCTTTCTCTCTACCTCTTCAATATTTCTTTTGTGTGTTAAATTTTCCAAGTTTTCTTTCCTTATAATGTATGTCAGCTGCGCATACAAAATAATTCTAGATATTTAATTAGCATAATTCCGGATTCTAAGGAGATAAATGACGTGAGGAAATTCTTATGACAGTTTTTCTATCTTGTTTGCCTATAAAATTAGCGCATAAAATAATGTTTTTATTTCTTGTTCTCGAACACCCACCTGCTACAGTAGTGGGAAATACGCTACAATGTTAGCTACAAGGATAGATATACTTGAATAGTTTGAAACGAAATACCAAAAACAAAAAAAAAAAAAAAGCGGAAAAAAAACAGCAACACAATGAAGACATCGGTTAACTGTCGGATATTTTATGACGTGTACGCATTTGTAAGAAAAAATCTTTTTATCTAGCTTACGCACGATTTCATCCAATTCACCTCGTGTTAAATTAACTCACATGTACGCTTCTCAGAAATTTTCTCAAATTTCGTTTGCGTCAGGTTCATTAATAATTCATATATTCCAAGGAAATACAAAGTCCTACCTTGTTACCCAAGAAGTAACATTTTCACTATCCACTTCGAGGCTTTCCGATACAGCAGATAAGGTCTTCAAGGTCGTTTCTACTTCAGCTCAGTGGAACGTGTCGTTTGAAAGGTTTCTTGAAGTACACTTCCGTGCAAATAGAAGATATTTCAAATATACTTAAACTAAACTAACATTAAATCAATATTGCCCATATTTTAAAAGATCAAACCATTTAAAGTAGTATTAAACTCCTCTATTTCATTTAAAAGTCATAGGACAGATATTAAATGTGATGCCTAGTGTAGTGTAACAGTAGGGGAGTGTTCATTTTGAAGACAGTTGTTAAAATTTTGACCAGTAATCAGTTGGTCTAATTTTTGCGCAATAATTATTACTCAACTTGCTTAAATATTAATTGAAATAATGAGTTAACAGTTTCTTTTCTCGCACTTCTCGCTTGCGGAACACCCTTCAACTTTAATCTGCCAAAATTTAAATGCAGCGTCAATGGCTATCTACTATAATCCTGATTACTCTTCCTCTGTTCTCTCTTCTTAGGAATTGTTTCTGTTTTCTGACCCTTCCACGCAGAGTAAACCCCTGTGTCTCGGTATTTTTACTCCCTTGCTTAGGGTGAACTCGATAAAAAAATTAAAAAAAAAAAAAGCAAAAAAAAAAAAAAAAAAGCAGTAAACTTGTTTTGACACGGAATACTCCAAAAGAAATGCCTCCTAAATTATTTTGTAGGCTCGCGCCGTCAGAGACAGTTGTTGGTAATATGCTATTAAATGAATATTCCCGCCAATAGACTAATTTGTTTTTTACAAATAGCAACTGAGTGGCAGTGTTGAATAATATTATTTCTTATGAAAATACTTACGAAACAGAAGAGTGTCATTAAATTCCTCACAGCAGAAAGAAATTGTGTAAATTCATCGATGCTTGCTGGATATTTACGCAGACCAAACAGTGGATGTGATCAGTTATGTGATGGTTGGTGCATTTTTTTCAGCATTGGTAAAAGCAATGTACATATGTTACGATTGGCCTGGAACAGCTTTTAATAAAAAAAAAAAAATGCATAGCTAGTGTTGGTGACTAATGTGGAAAAATAGTGTTATGTAGTTGAAAAATTGCTCTCTTTATCGGTGTTTCATTATACTGCCTGTATCTGTTTAAATGTCTGTGGGCATAAACACGGGGCATGACTTTCGGATAGAATCTCGTAATTCTTACGTTCTTCAGAAATTAGGCAAATAACGCACACACACACACACACACACACATATATATATATATATATATATCAGTGTAGCTAGACATTCGATTGCTCAAGCCGGGACCGAAACCCGACTGATCTGGTATCAGTTGGAGATTTTACCCCTAAACCATTAAGGAATTAAGGTGAATTAAGACGTATTTATTTTCAGATAAAGCCGCCAGTGACTGGAGAAGTCGATTCGTCTTAACGAAGAGTCTTGCATTAGCA